ATAAGTTCTATCTTGTAACTGTTTCATGTGATCCTTGAAAAAATATTTATTCTGCTATTATTAGGTGCAATGTTCTTCAAATGTCATTTAGATCAAGTTGGTTGATAGTACTGTTCAAATCTTTTGATATCTTTTCTAATTTTCTGTACTTGTTCTATTAATTACTGAAAGAGGTGTATTCAAATTGCTGACTATAATTATGGATTTGTCTATTTCTCTTTATAATTCTATCCATTTTTGCTTCAAGTAATTTGAAACTCTGCTAGTGGGTATATAAATGTTTGGAATTGTTATATCCTTCTGATGAATTGACCCCTTTATCATTATGAAATGATTTCTTTATTCCTGAGATTATTCCTTGCCCTGAAATTTTCTTTATTTGATATTAATGCAGCCACTCCAGTGAGAATTTGACAAATCAAATTCTTTTGATTTGTGTTGACATAGTATATCTTTTCCCATCTCTCTTTTTTTTTTCCAGGCAATTGATGTTTTTGTATATAAAGTATGCTTCCTATAGGCAGTATATTGTTAGGTCTTCCTTTTTCTTATGTACTATTTTTGTTTGTTTGTTTGTTTGTTTATTTATTTATTTGACAGAGAGAAAGAGAGAGCATAAGCAGAGAGAGCAGCAGGCAGAGGGAGGAGAAGCAGGCTCCCTACTGAGCAGGGAGCCCAACATGGGGGGGCTCAATCCTAGACCTGGAATCATGACCTGAGCTGAAGTCAGACATTCACCTGACCTAACCACCCAGGCTCCCTTCCTTTTTTTCTTTTTCTATTTTTTAAGTAAACTTATCCCCAACATGGGCTCAAACTCACAGCCCTGAAATCAAAAGTTGCATACTCTACTGACTGAACCAGCCAGGTGTCCCTGGGTCTTCCTTTTTTATCCAATCTTACAACCTCTGCGTTTTATTGAAGTATTTAGGTCATTTACATTTAGTTGCCATCTTATTATGTGTTTTCTATTTGTCCTATCTATTCTCTGTTTCTTTTCCTCCCCTTTTTTTTTTTACCTTCTTTTGGATTTTTTCTTAAGATTTTATTTATTTATTCATGAGAGACATACAGAGAGAAGTAGAGACACAGGCGGAGAGAAAAGTAGGCTCCATGCAGGGAGCTCAATGCAGGACTCCATCACAGGACTCCAAGATCACACCCTGAGCCAAAGGCAGCCACTCAACCACTGAGCCACCCAGGTGTCCCTACCTTCTTTTGGATTAATTTGATGTTGCTATGGTTTCATTTTATCTCCTTTGTCAAATATCTATGTGTAACTCTTCATTGTGTATTTTAGTGGCTGTTCTAGAGCTCATGTAAAGAGCCTTAACTTACAATAGACTACTTTCAGGTGATATAATGCCTCTTCACATATAATATAAGAACTTTATAACAGTACACTTCCAATTTTCCTCTCCTATTTGTGCTATCATTATTATATATTACACTTCTATAAACCTCATCATATATTGTTATTATCTTTGCTTAAATTATCTTTTTTTAAAGATTTTATTTATTTATTTGAGAGAGAGCACAAGCCGGGGGAGGGGCAGAAGGAGAGGGCAAAGCAGGCTCCCCCCTGAGCAGGGAGCCTGATGTGGGACTCAATCCCAGGACCCTAGGATCATGACCTGAGCAGAAAGCAGACACTTAACCAACTGAGCCACCCAGGTGCCCTTAAATTATCTTTCAAATAGCTTTAAATAACAAGGAAAAACATCTTTATTTTCTATTTTTATATTTACCCATATATTACCATTTCCACAGTTATTTGTTCCTTTGTATAGATCCAGATTTCTACCAGGTATCTTTCTTCTGCCAGAAGGACTTCCTTTAACATTTCTCATAATGCAGGGCTACTGCTGATTAATTCTTTCAGCTTTTCTATGTCTGAAAAAGATTACTTCATTTTCACTTAAGATGTAAATAATTTTATTTTTTAAATTGTAGTAAAATATACATAACATAAAATTTACCGTCATAACCATTTTTAAGTTTTGAGTCTAATAGTGTTAAGTCCATTCACATTGTTATGCAACAGATCTCCAGGAGTCTTTTTATCTTGCAAAACTGAAACTCTATAACCATAAAACAATAGCTCCCATCCTCTCCCCTCAGCCCCTGGCAACCAACATCCTACTTTCTGTCTCTATGAATTGACTACTCTAGCTATCTCGTGTAAGTGAAATCAAACAACTTTTGTCCTTTTTTGACTGGTTTATTTCACTAAGCATAACATCCTCAAGGTTCATCCATGTTGTAGCATGTGTCAGAATTTTCTTCCTTTTTAAGGTTGAGTAATATTTCATTGCACGTGTATACTACATTTTGTTTATCCAGATCTCTTCCTTCCCAAACAGAGCATTCAGCTCCTAATGTAGGAGTATCACTAAGACAGAAGAATATAATTCTCCCCACTCACAGTTCCAAAGCTGTGGCTCAGAAATTTTGGCTGAGATGGGGAGAACTAAGCCATAAAACAGATGTTGGTAATCTTTTCCCAAAGGAACTGGATTTATTTACAACAGAGCATGGAGAAATTCAAACCTAAAGACACTCTTTTAAACAGTAAAGACAGGGCACCTGGGTGCTCATCCAGTTGCCTTCAGTTCTGCCCTCAGTTCAGGTCATGATCCTAAGGTCCTAGGAGCAAGCCCTGCATTGGGCTCCCTGCTCAGCAGGGAGTCAGCTTCTCTCTCCCTCTGTCCTTTTCCATGCCCCAGGCTCAGAATGCAGTGCCCCAACACCTCATGTTGCCTCACCATTTCCTTTAAGTCTCTCAACTGCTCTGCCTGCTTCCATTCCAGCCTCCTTTCTGACCCATGGTCCCTAAACCAGCAAGAAAGATTTTTCTAAAATGCAAATCAGATCATCACACACATACACACACATCTGTAAAACCCTTTCAGGCCTCTCATTGCCTTCCATAGAAACTTCCATATGGCAGGTAAGTCTCCTTACTCTTCTGAACCCTGCCATCCCCTGTAGCCTACCCCTCTGCTTAAACCACATCAAACTTGCTGTTTCCCAAATGGCTTTTGCCTGTCTCTGCCTAGCTGGATGCTGTCCACTTTGCCAGAGGTGAAGTCTCCCCCTTTTCCACCCAGTTATTGGCCACATCATCTAAGACACAAGCTTAATGATTGCCTCCTCCCCCCTGATTCCCATTCTGGATTAGATCTTTTATTTTTAAAGTTTTTCTTTTAATTCTACTGAATTGACATAGAATATTATATTAGTTTCAGGTGTACAATACAGTGATTCTGGATTAGATCTTGCTACATCTTGAGGCCATTGGATCACCTCCTCCACAGCATTTATCACAAGGCATTGTAAATTTTCTTTTCCTTAAAAAAATTTTAGGGACACCTGGGTGGCTCAGCAGTTGAGTGTCTGCTTTTGGCTCAGGGGGTGATCCCAGGATCTGGGATGAGTCCCACACTGGGCTCCCTGCATGGAACTTGCTTCTGCCTCTGCCTATGTCTCTACCTCTCTCTCTCTCTCTCTCTCTCCCTCTCTCTCTGTGTGTGTCTCTCATGCATAAATAAATAAATCTTTTTAAACATTTGCTTTGCTTTTTTTGTTGTTTTTTTATCTAGCTTCCTCACCAGACTCTTTACCTGTGCATTTCTAGTACCAAGCTCAGTACCCAGCACATAGCTAATGCTCAATAGATGTTTGCTGAGTGAATGCTGGGTGACTAGAAGGCACCAGAGGAATACGACTGGAGACAGGAAGAGAATTTAGGCAGTTTTTACAGTGACCAGGAGGGCGGTGTTACAGGAAAGGCTAAAACCAAGGCTGGGGCAGCAGCAATAAAGAACCAATGGGATTTATAAAGACAACGGCTTGAAATCTGCAAAAACAATCTTAAAACAAGGAATAAGCCCGTGTGGTTTGGGGCCCTCTTTCTGAGAGGTGAAGGAGGGTACACCATGGAATGTGGCTGCTCTGGAAGCTGCTCTGTGAACAGGGACAAAGTGTGGTTTGCTTGGTGGGGACAGGGAAGGATCAGTGCAGCTCTCTGCCAGCCAACACATGGCCTCTTCCACACCCCACCTGGGATCCTCCTGGACCTGCTGTGCAGCAAGAGGTTTGTGGATCAAGGACTAAACTCTGGAGTCACACAGAGTTGTGAGGATAGTAGGGAATGAAGCATAAGAATATTGGGAGTACCAGGGTGGCTCAGTCAGTTAAGCGTCCTACTGTTGGTTTAGGCTCAGGTCATGATCTCATGGGTTGTGGGATGGAGCCCTGCATCAGGCTCTGTGCTCAGTGGGGAGTCTACTGGAAGATTCTTTCCCCTTGTCCGTCCCCCTAGTTATCACTCGTATACCCTCTCTCTCTCGTATATATAAATAAGTCTTTCAAAAAATACTTGGGATGAACTTGAAAAACATTATGCTAAATGAAACAAGTTAGGCACAAAAGGACAGATACTGTATGATTGCACTTATATGAGGTACTTGAGAGTAGTAACATTTATAGAGACATCTGCAAAAGAAGAAAAAGAAAGAAACCACGAAAAGAAAGAAACTCATAGAGATAGAAGGTAGAATGGTGGTTAACAAGGGCTACAGGGAGGGGAATGAGGAGTTAGCATTTGATATGTACAGGATTTTTTCTTAGGGAATATTAAAATGTCTGGAGATGGGTGATGGTGATGGTTGCACAACAATGTGAATGTACTTAATGTCACTTGAAAAGGGTAAAATAGTAAAAATTTATGTCATGTATATTTTATCACAATAAAACAATTGCTCCTGACCAAAAAAAAAAAAAAAATCAGAGATGATTCCAGTCCCTTGAGGAGCTATGCTAGTTTTCTGACTTCAGAGAAACAAATATCCCAGAGAAGAGCCCAGAACTGATTCCATCATCATTCCAGATAGAGGAGCTTCCTAATTCCCACAAACCTTTCACTGAAGGGCGCACACTTTTTACCACTTTAAAGCATAGCTGCCGATCTTTGAGCTCGCTGAGTAAATGCCTTGAGCAAAGCTCTCAACCTCCCAAGTTGAAAAAAATTTATGGACAAGAAATTATCATTGAAATTAAATGGTGGCAGACATGTCCAAGGCATATTGCAAGGATTTGATCCATTGATGAATCTTGTGATAGATGAATGTGTGGAGATGGCAACTAGTGGACAACAGAACAATATCGGAATGGTGGTAATACGAGGGAATAGCATCATTATGTTAGAAGGCTTGGAACGAGTATAAACAATGTGTATGTCCATCAGAAGAAATCAACTGCTTCCACATGTCCCCTGTCCATAGTATCTGTTTTACTACAATACAAGAATCAGGTCGCCTGCATTTTTTCTCTTTTTTTAAAAAAAAGGATTTTATTTATTTATTCATGAGAGAGAGAGAGAGGCAGAGACACAGGCAGAGACACAGGCAGAGGGAGAAGCAGGCTCCAGGCAGGTAGCCCGACGTGGGACTCTATCCGGGGTCTCCAGGATCACACCCCCGGAGGAAAGTGGCGCTAAACAGCAGGCCACCGGGGCTGCCCCGCCTGCATTTTCTTTTTTTTTTTTTTAATTTTTTTTAAATTTTTATTTATTTATGATAGTCAGAGAGAGAGAGAGAGAGGCAGAGACATAGGCAGAGGGAGAAGCAGGCTCCATGCACCGGGAGCCCGACGTGGGATTCGATCCCGGGTCTCCAGGATCGCGCCCTGGGCCAAAGGCAGGCGCCAAACCGCTGCACCACCCAGGGATCCCCCGCCTGCATTTTCATAGTGAACTTTTTTGTTAAACTTTTATAATGGTCAAAAAATAAATAAATAAAGCATAGCTGCCTCTGAAATAGCAGAGCTGGGAGCTCCCTAAGGAGTGTCTTGGGCCTATGATGCCCTCACTTGCCAGTAACTTGGTCACCCATAGCTAGTTAGGCCAGAGCTGGGGCCAGATGCTATGTCCCTTGACCTTGGGCCCATTGCCTGTCCATAAACCAACTTACTCTTAGCTTTCCCATTTACATCAGTGGCTCAAGGAATTTCTCTAGGGCTAACTCTACCATCTTGTGATGCATCTCCATTTTTTTTTTCTGTAGCAGATGCTGTGGTAAAACACATATCAAATGAACAAGACGATCTCTCTTCTGGTGGGCATCTTCTCTGTCCTTAACACCATCCAGTTCCTCATCTTTGACTTGAACCACATTACATCCATTGGCTACGAGGAAAAAATCAACATCTACATGGACACAAAATCAGAGGTAATATCTTGGATCATGATCCAGAAGAAGTCTATCAGCATTGTCTTATCTACCATGACCATCCTGTTCAGCGTGTTCCTTCTCTACTGCATCCGCATGAACAACTACGTGGGGCTGCTGTGCTATGCTGTGTGGATCGTCACCTATGAGCTCATCAACTTCTCCATGGTCATACTCATCAACGGGATCATCAAAGAGCAGTTCAAGGAGCTGAGTTACCTGAACTTGATCTTCCAAATCTCCCATATGCTTCTGCACTTCTTCTCCCTGCCTTTCATCTCTAAGCATATCTACATCCTTTACAAGGACCCTAAGACTTTAAGTAAGATAGGCCGCCGCAGGCACTCCTCCATCTGTACAGTCGATTCATGGTCACCTGTTGGGATGGGAACATTGTACCGCAAGTTAAACTGAACTGTGCCAGGAAGAAGAGAAAGAGAGGGACCATGCTCCCGGCAATAGCTCCCCTTCTTCCTGCCTGTTGATTCTGTTGGTTTTGCTTACCTTTTCAGGGTTCTTGAGTATTATTTACAACTATTCTTGGGGGAGGGTGGGTTGCATGGATCAATTATTGTGCATGTGTTTGTGACTTGTTTTAGCTTTTTATTATATACTGCCTTTGTTCTTGCTTAACCCTCTTACTGATGTATGCTATTACTTCTCATGATCCCCTCCTCTCTGCATGTCCCTAGTTTCTAATTTTTGAAACCTCATTTGAAGCCTCATTTTGCTCCTGCATTTAATTGCAGAAAGAATCTCTTTCCAGCTTCATGTATCACTCTGCTTCTCTCATACTTTTTGGAAAGCACTTCCTCCTATTGGTCCATAACATAGTAAGAAGAATCCTCATTTAAGAAAGCTCCAGGATTTTTTTCCATTTTAGGACTATTGACATTTTGGACTGGAAAATTCTGTCCTGTATGGAGCTGTTCCCTGCATTAGAGGATGCAGCAGCATCTGTGACCTCTTCCCACTAGATAGTATCCCCTCACACGTGTGACAACCAAAAATATCTGCAGGTGTTGCCAAATGTTCCCTGGGAGGACAAAATTGCCCCCAATTGAGAACCACTATTTTATTATATATTTCTTTATTTTTATTTTTTTAGTAATCTCTACACCCAATGCAGGGCTCAAACCCAGGACCCTGAGATCAAGAGTCACACGCTCTTCCAACTGAGCCATCCAGGTGCCCCAAGAATCACTATTTAGAGCAATACACTCCCAGTGTTGAGAGCTAGTATGCCACTACTGTTAACTAAAGGAGAGCATCTTTACATTCAGTACCAGTCATTTTAATTCTTTTTTTTAAATTTATCTATTTATTTATTCATGAGAGAGAGAGGGAGAGAGAGAGAAAGAGACAGGCAGAGGGAGAAGCAGGCTCCATGCAAGGGAGCCCGACGTGGGACTCGATTCCGGATCTCCAGGATCAGGCCCTGGGCTGAAGGCGGCGCTAAACTGCTGAGCCACCCAGGCTGCCCGAGTCATTTTAATTCTAATGCTCCCATTTTACGGCTTGATGAAACTGAGACTCAAGGCACTTAAGTGATGTGACTGAGGTCGCATGGTAGCAAAAGCAGGATTTGATTCTAGATCATCCGAATATATATATATATATATATATATATATATATATATATATATATATATATATATATATACACACACACACACACACAACATGTTGGTTTCCTGAAGCACTCATCTTTACCAAGATAAAAAAGAGGGACCTCCTTTTAGGATATTTCTTTTTCATTCCAAATATGTTGGAGGTGAAGCCAAGGGACACATTTATTTTAATCCCACTCCTCCAAACCACGAGCATAGTGACTGTAGCCCACTTTTACCAAACACAGTAAGTGCCCGGTGCTATTCTAATAATTCACTCAATTCTTCCCACCGCCCTGCGAGTACCAGATTTGGACGCAGGCCAGTACCTAACATGACCACCAGATGGCAGTCAGCAATAAGCTTTTGATTAGTGCTGTTTGCCTTCCCGACCAGATCCTCTAGGGGCGGCTGATGAGGGATTTAGGGAGCCTGGAGCTGATTGATGACTGAGGACTCATAGTGTGCGTCGCCGCCCTAGTCTCACAAGGCGTGCGTTGTCTGGTACCAGAAACAAAAAATAAAACATGAGCTGACTTCAGGCTCTAATCCCCCATCTCAGCTGGGGTGGCATGGTGGGGAAGCTGGCTGACTGGAGACCCATGTGCAGAAGACGTGGAGAGGGACACAGAATCCCAAGAATCAGCTAAGAGTTACCTGATGCCAGGAAGCTTAAGAGGATCAGATAAAGGCTGTGCGCCCCTCTACACTAGGACTCCTCAAAGTGTGGCCTGTCGGCCTCCCCATCCCAGCTTCCCATTCTCTTGAGAACCCATTCCAGTCCACCAAGTCTGCTCTTGGTAAGGTGGTCTCCACACTGCCCAATCCTGAGCTCAGCTTTCTCCTGCCATGCTGCTCCATGGCTGTTGACCAACTAACTGATCCTTCCCTGACCTGCAAACAGCGCTCTCTCTTGGCCCGTGGGACTCAAAGGCCATCCCTCTGCATTCGCCACCTGCCTTGTTGGCCCTCCTCATCTTCCTGACATCCAGACATCAGAAGTGCTCCCTGTCATCCCACTGATCTCCTTCCTAACTGCTCTCCTCCCTCCCTCTGCTCCAGCCACACTGGCCTCCTTGCAGTTCCTCCTCCACACCCAGTATATGCCAGCCTTGGGGCCTTTGCACGGGTTGTTTCTTTAGCCTGGAATGGTCTCACTCCAGGTATCCACTGGCTTCCTCTCATTTCCTTCAGATGTCTGCTCAAAAGTCACTGGAGAGGCTTTTCCTACCAATTTATGTGAACCCAACCCCTCCCCATGCCCTCCCTCTGTAACCCACTTAGCCTGCTTTATTTTTTTTTTCATAACGCATATCACCTGACTTACTCTATACAATTATTACCTCCTCTACCCCCCAAAATATGAGCACCATATTTTCTTTATTGCTGTCTTCCCAGCAGCTAGAACAATACCCGGCACATAGCATGTGCTTGATAAATATTTGTGGAATGAATAGACACAGACCCTCCACAGAATAGAATGAAGGACTGTTGACTGTTTTCCACCAGGTGGTTATGGTACACAGACTGGTGAGGGCCAATGTCTTTCTGCTCTTCAGCCTCCTTTCTCCCTTCTTCTCTTACTCACTTCTGAAGTCAGCAGATCATTACAGGTGGAAATATTCACAAGGGGTACAATTTCAGCTTCCTTGTCCCTCCCTCCCTTCCTTAACTCTCTTTCTCTGCACCAGCTGCTGACACTAGACATTCCACCTCGTTTCCTGGCTCCACCTCATCAAGCTTAAAACCAACCTTTCGAAGAGGGCAGGTGCCCCCGGGAAGGGCATATTCCCAGAGCTGTCACCACCTAACCCTCCCCTCCAGCCCCATGAAGGTCTCTGCCCATCCAGCCTCCCTTGCTTCACTAGGTTTGCTGAGTGTCTACTGTGTAGCAGGGCCTGAGCCTGAGGAATATCCTAGAAAGTAAGACACAGCCTACATTTCAAGAAGTGCCCAGCCTAGGGAGGGCTGAGTCACTCAGGGCCATTGGGCCCATATGATGGGTACTGAGGGAAGCACTGGGGGCCATAGGAGGAGTCTCTTGGAGATTGGAGAGCAGGGAAATCTTCCTGGAGGAGGAGACCTGTACACTGTGGCTGGAAGAGGCCTGAGAAGGGAGGAGAGAAAACAGAGAGGTGACAGCCTGAGAAGGTGCAGATACCCCTGGAGTTACCTCGGGGTGAAGGAAGAAGATCTGTGTGGGGGATGATAGTGTCAAGAGGAAGCAAGCAGACACGTACTTCCCCAGAGAGCAGAGGGTCTCCCCTTTTCCCACGGTCTCTGCTGGCTGCTCCCGGAAGGTGTTTGCTCTTCAGCACACAACCACGAAATATTTCTGGGCATCTTTCCCACCTCACTGCTGTCACCTGTACCTCCAAGTTTCCCCTAGCAGCCGAGTCTTTGGGGGGACAGAATTCGTTCTTGTTTACTTCTCCCTGCTGGTTTTAAGATGTGTCAAATGTTCCCATCTATTTTACTTCTTTTTTCCCCAGGGCTTAGGTATCCATTCCCCCTGCTTCTTTTCCCCAAAAAATGCCCACATCAATTACTAATATCCTCAGCCCTTAAAGCGCCCCCCTCTTTTTTTTAAGATTTTATTTATTTATTTGAGAGAGAGAGCACAAGAAGGGGGAGAGGCAGAGGCAGATACAGAGGGAGAAGCAGACTCCTTGCTAAGCAGGGAGCCTGATGCGGGGCTTGATCCCAGGACCCCAGGATTATGACCTGAGCCAAAGGCAGACACTTAACTGACTGAGCCCTCCCAGGTGCCCCTCGAAGCCCCTCTCTTTCCCTTTCTTTGGTGTCTCTCCACCATCAGTCTCTACATATGGTCTGATGCTTTGCTGTTTTTTTTTAATCCATTTGCCCACCTGATAAAAGGTTAATGAAGGCCTCTGACACCAGCCCCTGACTCTCAAGACAGCCTTTCACACAGGTTAGTTGCTCAGTGAGTGAGTGAAAAGAACCCTCCTAGGCTTCTTTTCCCATCCCTTCCATCCCCTCATCTGTTGTTAGTAAAATAGCAACTTTAAATGCTTAAATTTGGGGTGTCTGGCTGGCTCAGTCAGGGGAGCCTGTGACTCTTGATCTCAGGGTCATGAGTTCAAGCCCCATATGGGGTATAGAGATTACTTAAATGAATAAAACTTTTTTAAAAAAAATGCTTACATTTTTTTTTTCTAAATGAATTATGAGTTTCTTCCCTGGACATAGGCTTTACAAATGCCTTCTGACCATATTAATCTTGTTGCACAAACAAAGGCTTTCTAAGTGTGTGTTTGTGCATGTGACTATGTGTGTTTGTGTATCTGTTTGTGTGTACATGCATATTTCTGCATCTGTATGACATGTTTGTGTGATTGTGGATATGTAAAAATCTGAGTCAAATAATTATGATTGTCAGAAATAACTTACTTTTTTTTTTTTTTTGGAGGGGGATGAGAGGGCAGAGAAAGAAGGAGACAGAGAATCTTAAGCAGGCTCCACCCCCAGTGTGGAGCCCATGGAGGGGGGGCTCAATCTCACAACCCTGAGATCATGACTTGAGCCAAAATCAAGATTCAGCTGCTTCCTGTTGGTTAAGTGTCTGCCTTTGGCTCGGGTCATGATCTCAGGGTCCTGGGATCTAGCTCCCTGTTGGGCTCCATGCTCAGTGGGGAGCTTGCTTCTCTCTCTCTCTCCCCCTGCCCCTCCCCCTGCTTGTGCTCTCTCTCTTCTTTCCCAAATAAATAAATAAAATCTTAAAAAAAAAAAAAAAAGTCAGCCGCTTATTGACTTAACTGACTAAGCTAGCCAGGCGCCCCA